GTTTCTTTCATTTCATTCCATGTATTTAAAAGGAACGACGAAGGATAAATGCGATTCCGTCGACTCGACGGGATAGTTTACATCGATCAAAATCCTTCCCCCTTTCTAGAATGGTCCGATTTAACGAGGGAACGTAATAAACTGCAGAAGCCGAGCTACTAGTACGCCGTAACGACATCCGGGCATTCCGCAAAACGCTGCCAGCGATAGTATCTCGCGATCCTAAAGCTTTCCATCATAACCACAAGAAAGTACGGGGGATGAACATTTCCCCGGCATAAGCTTCGATGCAAAATTGGAATGTAGTTTAGTTCGATCCATTAATGAACGACTCGATTTCTCGAGATTAATCGTAAAAGTAGTCGCGTTTGTTGCCAATCAATTGTTAACAACGAATCGTACGTTCTCAACTTCCTTCTAATGAAACTTTTTAAAGAACTATTGTATTTCATATGACATCATGTACGTATAATAAGAAATTATCTAGATCACAAGAGATCATAGAAAGTATTATGCACTGGAAATTTAATTATTCGAATTAAATGTCAAAGTAAATTTCAAATCAATTTTTTTTTTTTCTTTTTTTTTATAATTTCTTCACGAGTTTCATTCAGCATGAACATCTTTAAAACAAGAACAATATAAGAGAATACTTAAGAGATTCAATGTTCTTTTATTAATCAAAGTTCAATTGTACTTTTTTTCGATTCGAAACAATGAGATAAACAATTTCGTTTCATGCTGAATTATTTTTAATTAAATTTAATTATTTCTCATTTAATTAATTTATATCATTATCCTCGATTATTTAATTCCTTAGAAACTGCTAATACGGTATTGAACATATTCGTTCCTCACGTAACTCATTATGGCTTAGCTATAGGTGTTGGTGCTTTGCTAGCTTAGACGACATCTAGTCATGCGCAGAAGGTAGAGTTAGTCAAACGCATTCCCTTTCTCGTCGCATACAAAGCAACACGATATGTGAGACGATGAAGTTACCAAACTGTTGACTACGTAGGGGGATTACGTTAAGTGCCTCTTCAATATGCATTGATTTATTCCTCTTGGTTATGTTTACCTACAATATTTTCATATCGATAATCATTTTTTCAAATTTTAATAATTTTCGTAAAAGGAACTTTAGAAAGAGTGAATATATTTTTGATCGTTCGAGCGATTTCATATGATCTTATTCATAGATCATTTGATAAAAAGGTCATGATCGTTCTTGTATTAACAAGTATTAACTTTCAACGGTATATCATTCATTTATATATTCATTAAAATGTTTTTTTTTTTTTTTTTTTTTTTTTATATATATATATAAAAATATGTATGAAAAGAGAGAACGTATAGATTTTTGAAGGCGAATAATAAATTCGCCGTTTATACATATTATTTTTTTCTTTTTTTTTTTTTTTTTTTTCACAAGTCATCCGATACAAGTTTTTCGAGAAAACGTGCTCTCCTTTCCTCGCTCTCGGGTCAGTGGATCGACGAGAAACGCGTCGATAAAATGTACTCACCCTCGCTTCCAGTTAAATAATTTCGTTACGATCATTCAGCGTGGATTTAACGAGCCGTACGAGCGTTTACCTTCCTCAATTTCGTTACCCTTTTCGCGTAGCACATGCGATTGCTCACTATCTTTTTTATATATATTTTTTTTTTTTATATCTTGTTTTCTTTCTTGTTTTTTTTTCTTTTTTTTTTTTTTTTCTTTTTTTTTTACTGCTTACTCAGCCCTCCAACTTGCTCGCATACGTACACGTGTATGTTCTTTTTTCTTTTTCCTTTTTTTTTTCTTTTTTTTTTCTTTTTTTTTTTTTTTTCTTTTTTTTTGTGTTAATCAAGCACGGTCATATAAAATCGAATTTTCACGATGACCGATCTCTCCTTTTTTTTTTTTTTTTTTTTTTTTTTTTTTTACGCGAATGCCGCGAGCTCGATGGCATTTATTGTTAATTCGCTTAATTGGCTATCGTCATTTGAACCCTCTGTGCAAATTTATGAATCCGGCTAATAAATTTGTTTCGATAATTTACGAGTACGCTGCTGGTATATATCTGTTCATTTCGTTATATAATCGCGAATATTTTTCGCTCGAAGAACGGAGTATCGAACGGAGAGAAAATGCATTATCGATAAGCGATGATAAATTTTTTATTTCATATCTTTTTTCTTTTTTTTTTTTTTCTCTTCCTTCATTGAATTTTCTTCGTGTTTGAAAACTTTCGAAAGCAACGCTTATATCTCAATGAAATTGCTTAGAACGATATTAAATATTTGGATCTTTAACCATCAATGAAAGATGTAATATCTCTCTTTAAAGATATTTCGATCTTTTCGTTGGCACTTTACTACTTCGCTTTCTGGCATGGTCGCTTCGAAAGTTCCCGCCACTAGCCACGAAAATGGAGTTTCCAAGTTCGCTTTTCGAAGGAACAAGAAGCACGTACTAGCACGCCCTTCGTCCTTTTGACCCGATTAAACACCGTTTTCTCTCGAGGAACGTGGTGTGGTTCAAGGATGCCAGACTCGACTTTACCACCACAATCTCCTTGAGATTCTTATTCTCGAATTCTCGATGCCACGGATCACTAAATATTGTAGCTTTATTGCCTGGGTTATGCAGCCTATAAAATTCGCGGTGGGTGGTGATGCCATCTGATTTTTCTTTTTTTTATTTTTTTTTATTTTTTTTATTTTTTTTTATGAATGACCGCCATATGTATACTCTTTCGTAGCTAGCCCGTTTTCTTTAATTACTATATATTTTCTTATCGCAAAATATGCAACAAAGGACGATCGTAAACATTGAAGTTATATAGAATAAGCGATAAAGAAAAGAAAAAATGTTCTTCGAAATTAAATAAATAATTTTTAGGTTAAAGTATTTCATATGAGTTTAGAGTTTGTACAAAGAAATCATATTTTTCACGTCCTTTTTGATTTATCCATTTATTGTTTATTAATTTGTCATCAACTTATCGAGAAAAATATTTTCGTGCCCAATATTGATCTTCTTCTATTTCTATACACAAAACATCGAATGCATCATATTATTTATGACCGACTATTTATCATTCGAAACATCCCTGCGGAATTTGAGCGTCATCGTTGAAATGAACGGCACCCTATGCAAGAATACATATGTATATATATATATATGTATATATATATATACACACATATATATATATATATATTCATATATATATATATATATATGATTGATCGAAATGTTTTACATTTAGTTTATCACTGTATTTATTGTTCGTTAATTATTTTAACGTTCTCAAATGACTATTATAATAACGTTTTACGTGGATACGCTCGTGGAAGCAAAACGATTTGTATATGCACGGCAATTAAACGATTTAAATGTTGGCACATATACATGCTTTCTCGCTTTCTCTCTCTCTCTCTCTCTCTTTCTCTCTTTCTCTCTTCCTCTCTCTCTTTCTCTCTTTCTCTCTCTCTCTCTTTCTCTTTCTCTCTTCACTTGCCCCCTTCCTTGTTCGTAACAAACGTTCTAGCGAATTATTATTTATCGTGCATTTCGTGCAATAGCAGCAGCGTTATAAATCTGAATTCGATCCGCTCTTAAGCCGTCAAATGGTTTTGACGAATAGTCGACTCCCGTTATAGTAGGCACATATACCAATATGACCTTTAAAAACGAAGAAACGTTGTTTCTCCCTCTTTGTCTTCTTTCTTTTTCAAATACCTATCCCCTTCCTAGGATAGATTGATTGACGCACGAGCCGATCGATCGCATTCGGATAGCGCGAAAACGCTCCGAAGTAAAAACTTTATCGGCCACGCTACGGAAATCTGCTAACGGCCGAGCCGATTCCGCCGCAGTCGTATATATCGTTGCCAACGAATCGCGAGACTTTCGTTCGGAAAATCGTATAGCTCCTGCTATTATCGCGATCCTCGTAAATTTTTCCTGTCGATGGAAAAGCGCCGTGGCACACACCACCACCACCACCACCACCACCACCACCACCACCACCACCACCAGCAACACCACCACCAGCACCACCATCACCATCACCATCACCACCACTAGGAGCAGCAACAGCAGTAGCATGTATCGTCGTACAACGACGAGTGGACGAATAAATCAATAATGAACGAACGAAACCGCAGTAGCTGGTTCATTAATTCGATTACGGGATCGTGGCTCGTTGTAAAGTATGCAACCGAGGTGTAAAATAACTACTCGATGACGTCGAAGGAGTCGAAGGATACAGTATGTGTTATCCATCAACACAAATCCTGTAACGTGTAACGGCTTAAAGATTGGCTATGCGACAGTTGCAGCTTCTGCGGTAAATAGATTACGTTCGAGCTAGTAAAACGATGTATTAACGTCGACGTTTGGCCGTAAATCCTCGAGGATATCTCGCCTTAACCTTAACGGCCATTCGCGCTAACCTACACATCGTCTCAACTCCCTTCGTCCTTCTCGTCCTTTGCCTTTAACACCTCTTCTTCCTTTTATAACTCTCGACGCTATTTTATTTGTCCAACGGAAACGTTTTACCGACGAACGTTTACAATACTTTTACATTACTTTTCTTTTTTATCCTTCTTCCTTTATTTCTTTCCTTCTTTACTTCTTTCTTTGTATTTTTGAAAATAGACAATTTACTTGATCGATTAAATTATATACGATTCTGTTCGATCATTGAAATTAATATCACTGTTTCGCTGTGATCAGTTTCTTTAATTAGAAATTCGCTTGAACGTTATGCTATTCGTATTAATTATCCTTCCAGAACTTCGTTATATTTTATTGCTAAATTTTATTTTATCCATTTTCGTTTAACTTTCGCATTAATTCCTACGTTAAAGTTGTAGTTAAAAATGGATCTTAAAAGACATAAGTATATATCCTTTTTCGTTTCCTTTTCTTTTCTTTTTTTTTTTTTTCTTTTTTTTTTCTCTTCGTACGTCCTACATCGGTCTTTTCACTATGTTTACAGCTACCGATAGCAGCCAGTGACGGGTGGTAAAGGACGATATATTACTGTGAAATTCAACACCGTGGTACCCCACCAGGCGGTCGAAGCTTTACGCGCGTTTCGTGAGTTTTAATGTTCGATGAACTTCTCTTTCTTTCTCTTTCTCTCTTTCTCTCTCTTTCTCTCTCTTTCTTTTTCCCTTTTTTTTTTGTACTTTGGAGAACGTCCGTCTCGGTTTTCTGCTCGCACGAAAGGCGACGTCCCCGTGTCTCCTTTTCGAGGTCTCTTCATAATTCTTGAAAAGTTCATAACTTCCTTCTGAAAGTCTTGCTCCGTAGGAAGACGGTAAACGTCAAGGCGAGAAGTTCGTGCAGTTTAATATAAGGTCGAGGCTCGTTTATACGTGCCAACCGAACGTGCTCCTTACCCATCCACCACCCCCTCCTCTCATAATCCTTTTGCCATATCGATAAGAATAATAGTGATAATAATACTCACTGCCAGGATTAAATGTTCCTGTTATTGTGCAATAATTTCGATCAGAATCTTACGACTTCATTCGTCGTCTAGATCACGACGACCAATGTAAATTTAATATCCCCCGGGCGTTTACGTTTGCGTTAAACGTGAGTCACCTTCATTTCTCCTTCTCTCTCTCTCTCTCTCTCTCTCTCTCTCCTTCTCTCTTTCTCTTTTTTATCTTTTTTTCTTAACCTTCTTCCTTCTATCTTTCATATATGTACATCGAAATAAATGTAAATAAATCATCGCTTGCCTCACAATTCGGAAAATTCTGGAATTTCTTTCGTGCGTTAACACGTCGTTTTCTTCCTTTCAATATTCAAGAAATGAATTTATCATTAAAAATAAAGTAATAAATTTACGATATATAAAACGTGAGCAGAGATAGAAGTACACAAATGCGATGGATTAATTTTGACGATTAAAATAATTAATGGTTATCGTTAATTTGTATAATATCCTTCAATATATCTTATCATGCTTTTGAAATCATGCATAATCGTATATTTGTTATATATTATTTTTTTTCGTAGGAAAAAAGAAAAAATATCTTCAATTTATATCTAATGCCTAATGTTTGCTAAATATAAGTTATACTCGATATATTATGGTTACAAGTTTTCTTTTTTTCTTTTTTTTTTTTCTTCTCTAGAAACGAACAAAAATTGGATTACGCAGGGAGGGATGTCGTTAATAATTTTGTGACTTTTTTTTGAGATATTCGTCGAATCAAAAAAAAAAAAAAAAGAAAAAAAAAATACAAAAAAAAAAATACAAAAAAGAAAAAAAACTAGAAAGCACTTTCGTTTTCGTCGCACCGGACGCAATCACGTCGACTGTAACAGCACGTTCAGTTGGCCGGACTTGACAGGCTAAAGAGAAAGTATTACCTCGCCCGCGGCATCGCAACGGCTGAGATTAATCCAGAAATTTAATTAACAAAGCCGTAAGCCCCATCCCGCTTTTTCTCAAACTCTTCCTTCCGGCCGGTAATTTTCATACTTACCGGCCGCTCTCGTTCCGCCTGAGAAGAAATGAAATTCATTTTCATACGGGCTGATCGATCCGTAAGTGCATTCCGAGGAGAAGTAACCAACGGCAGTCTTTTTGCGAATGAAAATAGCACTGCGATAAATTCGGCACCATCCAGCAGCCGCAGGTGACCGCGAATTTATTTTACGATCGTCGTAATAAAAACGTCAGGATAACCCCGGTCCTCCACCTACGTTTATACTATCTCTCTCTTTCTCTCTCTCTCTCTCTGTCTCTCTCTTTCTCTCTCTCTCTCTCTCTCTCTCTCTCTCTCTCTTTCTTTCTCTATTCCTTTCTATTGCCTTTCTTGTTATTTCTTTTTTCCACAAATTCATTTAAGATTCGAGATTTGATCAAGATACGATAATTGCTTCCTTCGAATATGAATGAAAGGTCCTACATAATTAATAAGATGTATATTATTAATGTTATGATAATGAATTCGGTTATTATAAACTAGCAGTCTTTAAAATATGCTATGAGAATCCTTAAACTTTTTCAAGGCTTGATTTTGAGAGGCATAAATTAACACAAATATTTGAGTAATTTTTATACTTTCTTTTTTAATACAATGAACATGGATACGTACATCTTATATATGTATATATGTATACTCGTATACTTTAGATTATTCTACTATTATCTAACTATAATCGAAAAATATTGTCAAACACGTGTGGTGTAAATCCGAGGAGAATTAGACCAACAAATCTTTGATATGTTGACACATCGCATAAGTAGAAAATTTTTAATTCTTTCTTAACTTTTCCTTTCGTTCTTTTACTCATAGACACGATAGTTCGACTTTCGTAATACGATGGAAATCCAAATAATAATTCAACGGGAATAATGTGATTTCGTAATTTATGTTCGGCCGATTGCAATACCAGGTAGTCGTTCATAGTAATCGTTATTTATTAGACGCGTGAGACCATAAGTGTTTCTCCGTTCTACGAAGATATTAGTTAGTATAAAACGGCAGCTTTCGAGTGGTCTCAAGGGTATATAAGTTGTCTCTCTCTTTCTTTCTCTCTCTCTCTCTCTCTCACTTACTCATTTTTTCTTTCAAATACTAAGTCATTTACTCATAATTTTTCACTTACTGTTAGACCTAAACTTATAGTAAGTATAAGTTTTTTATTTGACATTTGTACATTTGCAAATTATGATTATAATCTAATCTAATCTTATCTCTCTCTCTCTCTTTCTCTCTCTCTCTCTCTCTTTTTTTTCTCTCTCTCTTTCTCTCTTTCTCTCTGTTTATAGCCATTTACTATATATACGTGTATATATTTTTCTACGCTGGTCCACTCTCGTCGTTATCCGTACTCGATAGTGACAACTTCAATCACGTTAACTGGTATTGGTGTTAGTGATCACCAATGGTGGTTCGTGGTCGTGATGCATTTCAATTTGTTGACCACATCGACCCTCGGAATACGGCAATAATGCGGCACTACGCCGACTAAATGTTTATTTTACTCCCGGAAAGCAGAACGAAATTTACAGAGAGTGTAACGTAAAGCAGAGAACGAACGTACAGATACACAGCAGATAACTTTTTTAACATTTTTGTTGTAATTAAAAGAGAAAGCAAGGTGTGGGAAAAGCGTAATAAACGCGTGCCACTCACGCACATGTCATCATCGTCGTTGTCGTCCATTTGGATAAAATTAAGTAACACTGTATCCAATTATGCAAAACCCAACGTGGATTCTTCGTAAATCAAGCCGCATAGAATTCACAAACAATGAACCTCACGCAGTATTAAAGATGAGAGAAAGAGAGAGAGAGAGAGAGAGAGAGAGCGAGAAAGAGAGAGAGAGAGAGAGAGAGAGAGAGAGCTCAAGATGGCAGAAACAATCTTAGTTATCTCGTTAAAGGGAAATTGCGCGAGGATCGAAGAGAAAAGAGAAATGAAAGGGGAAAGAAGGGATAGAAGGTAGGATGATAGGTAATTCGAAAACACGAAAGATTTATTAAGCGTCTTGCGAGAAGAGGATGGTACGGCCAAAATTCAGAGGCGTATCGCGGTTTATTCTCATGAATACGTAAACTATCTACCCAGTTTTCGTAGGTGCGAGACAATAACGAAGAATAATTGAAACGGCGATAGCTCGCGCTCTGATATCACCAGGCTCGCTTTTGAACGCACGAAGGTGTATCTCCAGATTGCTCGAAGCACGAGTTTCACGTATTCGCGTGTTTGCTGCGCTCACACATACTCACTTATACGTGAGAAGAGACACGTTTGGATTCACCGTATATCTCTGCGTGGTTATGCTTCCTAACGATTTTTCGATATTGGTAGGCGATGCGTTTTTATTTGTTCTCTACGATAGAAACGTCCGTTGCAGACAATCTGCACCGGATAACGCGTAACTGCCCTCAGGAAAATAGTCCGACGAATTTTATGCTCCCTCCACTTCGTACTCTTTCTATCTCTTTTTCTCTCTCTCACTCTCTTTCTCTCTCACTCTCTCTCTTTTTCTCTTGCCTTCGCGATACTGTTCGCCACGGCAAGCGAAAATTTATGAAAACGTTTATAGACTAGTCGTTCGTACGAGTGAGAGAGAGAGAAAGAGAGAGAGAGAGAGAGAGGGAGAGAGAGAAAGGGGGATAGAAAGAGAAGAGCAGGAAAAAATTCATGGCGACAGCGTAGAGCTTATGTTCTAATTCCACGAAATAGAGGAGTCGATACGTTCGAAGCACCTATGCGTCGCTCGCGGTAGTTCGACTATCGATTCATTTCTACTTCGTTCATATTTTGATATATACATATATCGAAAAGAATAACGTTTGATAAAGTATTTTTTGATAAAACCTCTTTTCAATCTCTGATAAATTTAGTAGGTATACTGAATCATTTAGCTTCTCTCTTTTTCTCTCTTTTTCTCTTTTTCTAAGATATTATTTTTCATAGGAACATTAATTTTATTTTTAACGATTGTAGTTGACAATCAATAAAATTACACCAACTATATAAAGTTACTTTAGGAAGAATTAAATTTGCTTTATTTTCGTCTAGAAACGATTTTCTCGATGGTTTATAAATCAGATAGACGTATACGAGCACAATCGTTTACGAAATCTCTCGAGAAAGCCGCGTGCCAAAAATCGTAGCACGTTGATGTAATTTGTTCGGTGCTTAGAACGATAAAAGAAAGGAAATACGCGTGCGCATACGCGAAAGGGAGCATTACGACGCGAAAAAGAAAATCCTTTACCCTTCGTCTTTTCCGTAACGGTAGGATCATGCGCCTTTACGACGTGTAAAACGTTTCAGGACTTTATTTGAGATCGTACCTCGAAAATATGCCCGTTATTCTTGCCATTTTAAAGGATACAGAATTTCGTCGCATCGCACGATTCGAACTTTCTTTTTTCTTTTTTTGTATTTTCCTTTTTTTTTTTTTTCTTTCTTTCTTGCTCTCTTTTTTCTCCAAAATGTAAAAGAAGAAACAAAATTATCAGAGTAAATCAGAGAGAAAGAGAGAGAGAGAGAGAGAGAGAATACTAATTGGTGAAAATAGTGAAATAAAATTACTATATACCTATATTGTATATA